CAAAGAAATTACGGAAAATAATACGGCACACGCCGTAACCGTATTAATTTGTTAAATGAATTCTACCGCCAACTATACTCCTAGGTTCAGTTCGGGGTAAGGTCGGTCCGGGTCCCGTCCGGGGTTGAACTGGACTCAAACTCTAAATTTTGATAATTTAAAACTTCAAACCAGACTCAAACTCGTTTAAGAGTTTGGTCCGGTTCTATCAAACTAGTTTGAGTCTGAATATATATTTGTACTTTTTTGTTCTGAACAAGTTTACTTAGTGCATTAAGTTAGAATTAATTGGTAAAAGTTTGAAATAATAAGATTTTATAATAACATTCTATAAAATCTTATAATTCTCGGAATTTTATTAATTAATACTAACTTAATGCACTTGTTCAGCACATAATTATACATTGAACTGGTAGCATTGTTTTTATTTTACTTGAAATTTGGAGAATAAATGCTTAATTTTAAATTTTTGATCAAAAACCAAATTAAGCATCTTTTCTCTAAATTTCAAGTAAAATAAAAACAACTCTTCCGGTTTATTGTATTTTTAGGTAATCAACAAGTTTATTTAGTGCATTAAGTTAATATTAATTAATAAAATTCTGAGAATTATAAGATTTTATAGAATTTTATTAATAAAAGTCTATAAAATCTTAATATTCTTAAAAGTTTACTAATTAATTATAACTTCGTGCACTAAATACACTTGTTTAACACATATATAGATATTCGGATTCAAACTAGTTGACAAACTTCAGATTGAACCCGGACCAAACTCAAACTTGACTAGAAAAAGTGAGCCTGGTTCGAAAATCATACCAGACTCAAACTTGACTAAAAGTTTGGTTCGGTCCGGTCCGTAAAAGCACTAAATTCCATATTTAAAATGATTTTTAATCTGAAATAGCAAAAAATATTCAATTAAAATTTTCTAGGCTAATGTACAACAAAATTTATGAAATTTATAACCAATAAATAATAATTTTATTTCTTACAAAACATTCGATGCATCCGCCTTAGAAGCATGGAAGGTTTTAAGAATAACAATATAAGCTAATCTACATAACCCTTTATAGCAATTATTAATTTTTTTGACAGTTCAGTTTTCCATCTGATATTCGATAGCTTTTCAAACGGAATTCGTTCAATTACTTTTTTCATATACCGTAACTTTAAGCAAAAATTCCTTAATGAAATTCTCAATCTCATAGTTTCCACTTAATGCTTTATTTAATATTTTATTTTTGGTATCTCTTAACTCACTGAAAGGTCACATGATTAACACCATATTGGATTGGAGTAAGTCTACTAATTCGGGGGAAATATACTGACACAGCATACACATGATTTAGTGCACAGCATGGCCGGCATTAGAGTTAGGATTGGCGTTAGGGTATACTGTGTCGGTATATCTACCTAGGGTAGGTACAAAATCACATGAGCTGGTGGATTTACTCGCTGGATTGGTACACATTGTTCGCATTTTCCATATTCATTTCATTTTTCATAACAATGTTTGTACGTATTGTTCTGTTTAGAATCTTGAGTTATTCTATATACAGTCTCACTCCCATATAATCACACCATCGGGCCCATAAAAAAGTTATACGTATGGAAAATGTGTTTATATAGGAAACTATTTTTATATATAATATTCAATAATAATTTGTTCAAAAATCAATATGCTTATATTTGTGATGTGATACAGGTGCTCATATAGGAGTGTGAATGTATTTTATGATTCTTTTTCATCATTTCTTCAAGTTTACACAAGATATGTGTCATTTTAGCAGTTTTACATTATTCAGTATAGTAAATTAATAGCATACTGAACAATTTAACTTACTTTCTTTACGGCAACCAAACTATTTGAGAACTGTACAATTTTATGAGATTATATAGGAGTGCAAAAACGATGTATAAATAGAAATTTCCTTTATAAATCATCCTGGATAAATTAATGCGAATGAAATAATAAATGCAGATTTTCTCCTCTATAATCACCCAGTTTGTTTTACATAAATTAGTGATTATAAAGGAGTTTAATTAGAGTGTAATTATATAATCTTTATCCTATATAATCACATTAATAAAGTATCTATAGTATAAATATGTAAATGTAAATATTTTTTGATCGCAAATAGTTACTACATATAAAGGTTGAATCTAATCAACTTTCATGCATTAAGAAAAGTTGTTCGACATGATTATCCTATAATTTTCATGAATTTTTACCGAAACAATATTAATTTCACTTCTATTTTACGTTTAGGCTCAAACGTAAAATAAAAAAGCGAATTAATGTTGTTTCAGCCAAAATTCATGAAATATAGTTCATCATGCGGAACAACCTTTATTAATGCATGAAAGTCGTAAAATTTTCAACGTTTATATTTATCAACTATTTATTTCGTGATTATATAAAAATATGATTATAAGCTAATTGCGATTATATAAAGGCACTTTAAATGCATATGAAAGAGATGAAAGTAAAATTTTGAGATTATATATGAGTTTTGATAATAAAGGAAGTGATTATAGAGGAGGAAGACTGTAGAATAATTAATCCAAGTGGTCATTTCTTTATATATTAAGAGTATGTTAGAATTGGTACATGTACTTGAAGTGACCAACGAATATATATAATTCAAGTAATGTACGTATAAATAGCTCCCGATATTTCCTTGTGAATCGGTGTACTTTCCACTTGTTATTCATTAATAAAGAATATAACTCAAAGTTTTTATTAAATAAACTATTATAGTCTAACTGTATACACATTATTTATAAAATGACAAAGGAATTTACTTATCGTCTCTAATCTTATAAGAAGTTGATGTTAAAGGTTCTAAAGACATCTAAAATGATATTTAAAATTATTTAAAATGAAAAACATTTGACAAAAAATCACATTTTCACGTGGCTGTCACATCTTGGAGGAGGCTTATGTTCGTCTCCTATAATAATTATATAAATACTGAAATTATTAAAAAGTAGTATATTTTTGATATTTTGTTGCTTTTCTAATTTATAAACATTTACGATTTTATTAAAATAAAGTTATAAAATGCAACTGTGATAACATCTAACATTAACGGAGGATTCAAAAATTTTTATCGCAAAAAATATAAACTTTATATAAAAGATAAAAATTTTTAAGTTTTAATAGTATTTATTCATATATGTATAATATAGTGTTTTTAATGTAGATATCGGAATTTTGATGATGAATAGGGAAAAAGAACCATTTATGCTTTTACATTCTCCAACCCCCTGCACATTTAGTGTTTGACATTGACAAGTTAACGTTTCAGATTAGATTGGCATGCATGCATGTCAAGTCTATAAGTCAATATAAAGTATAGTTCCATTATATTATGTATCTATATTTTATTCTATTTTTCGAATATTTAATCCAAAAAATATATTTATTACATATGAACATACATTATTAACAAAATGCACCAATTCATTTTTAGAATATGAATAGAAAATACCAATATAGTATACGTAGAAAGAATAATAAAGGATAAAAAATTAGTATAGAAAGTTAAAAAAAAAAATCAATTAAATTAGTACTGTAGTATAGAAAATTAAAAATAATAATAAAAAAAAATCGATTTTCCGTTAGGACATAAATATATATATCATAAATATCACAAATTAGTCGATCGTTATATCAATAATCCTGTATATTGAATAATTTCTATTATTGGAATTAATTCATCTATTGAAATCATCCTTTAAATATTCAAATCATTGAAGTTGCAAAAAACTCTTATTGATATAACAATGATCAAATAAATAATCAATTTCTATAGATAAATAATGATGTTACCGATAAAGTTATAAAAATTTTTATTAATCTTTTTTCTTTTTCTTTTTTTTCGTTTTTTTTTTAAAAAAAATAATAATAACAATAGAATATTCACATCACAAAAATTTAACAGAATTTGTTGATGACAAATAGTTTTAAAGATCTATGCTTTGTAAAACTTGATATGCTTTATCCTTCAATTCCGGTCGCCCATCAGCAACAGGTAGTTTGAAATATACAGGATCAAATTCTTCTTTTCTCGCCTTTGCTTCAACCGCCAATCGTCTTTGACGATCTTCAATTGCAATCTTTTCCTTCGTAGCTTTTGAATAATCTCTCTGAAAAAGTGCAGCTGATACAGATTGCCATACTTTACGTGATTCAAGTGGACCTTGTTTTGCGATTGGTCTTACAATTTTGGGGATCGGAGCGAGTTCACTTAAATCTATGATCAATATAGTTTTCTGTAAAATAGTAATAATAATCAATTAATATTTAATAACTTTTTTAAGATTCAAAATTTTAGAATAATGTATACTTTAGTATCTAATATTGTAGCATGAATTTTTCCACGCCAAGACCCTGTGATTTCAGCAACCACATCTTTGTCGTCAACATTTTTTAGTTTTTTTATGTCATCATTATTTGGATCATATCTGAAAATCTTGCCTTCTATCGCGAATTTTGGTTTTCCAATCCATCGCTAAAATTATATAAAATATATATAAAATTATATAAAATATATATAAAATTATATAAATTAAAAATATATTTATCATAAATATATATATGAAAACCAAATAATACCTCTTCTTTATATTCTAAAATAGCCTTTAATTTTGTTTTTGGACATGTAACAATACAACTTTCACCTACGACGATGTATAAAGAAGCTTTCAACCACCCTTGAACGGAAGCCACTATATAATCAAAGAAATCAAGTAATCAGAAATAAACAAAATTTCAAATTTATAAATAACACACAGAATAAACATATTTATAGTACCAGGATGAGTTAATAAATATTCTTCATTGTCTCTTTTAGCCAAGTTAATATAGATTCCTTTATTTTGATCACCAGGACCAATTTTTACAGCTAAATTTATTAAAAAAAGAATTTCATTAATCAAAAATGTATAATAATTAGATAAAATAAAAGAAATAATTCTTACAAGTTCCTGTGAATTTTGCCGAGATGTGATCTATTCCACAAGCAGATACACCGGTTTCTTCACAGTGATAATGAAAAGCGGATACAGGTGGATGATGAGATATTTGTTCATTAAGACCTGTAACTATATAATTTTTGGTATTCTTTGAAGTGTTGGTTTCGTCATTATTTATGTAATGACCATTATTATCAAATTTTGGAGCGGGTACATTCCAATGACATATGAATTGTTCTCCTAAGATTGAATTATATGGTTTAACCAATTTTCCTGTCTAATCGATAGAATGATAAAAAATTATTAATTATTATTTAATCTCGATATATAAATTTTACAAGTTAAAGAGAATACAAACCACATATTTTAAATCCTTGGAATACCACCATCGGATTGCAGCCAACATTCTTTCCAATGGATCATCAGAATCACCAATACTAAAAAATTTCGGAATTTTGGGTTAAAAATTTTAAAACAAAAATATATATATGTACATTTATTTATTTAAATTTTTTGAATTAAAGTTTTTTAAATAAAATTTACCAAGTTAAAAAATCGGGTCTATCATTGTAATTCCAATATTCTAAATTTCCAATGGGTTCAAGAAGTTGTGATGGAAGTGAAATTCGCCTGTATAAAAGGAATTGTATAATTAATAATCAATAAAAAATAAAGTTAAACATTATGGATTATTCACCGGGTGTTTGAAAGTCACTAGATGGGATTCTCTAGACAATCCCTTTTTATTAATAAAGATTGTAATGCTTTTGATATCATTAACAAAAAGGACAAGTCTAGGGGCTTTCCAAACACATGGTACTGTATAATTCTATGAATGACACTTACAATGAGACGATGTCTTTAACCCCGATTAAATTTTTTAAAAGACTAAACAAAGTCCTAAGTTTACTTTGATCAGGTTCCGAATCCTCGAAATGAGCCTCGCAATTAGTTACTTTTATGTGTCGTTCAGTAATAAGGCGATCAAGATCTTCAAAGCCGTCGTCATCATCACACAAAGTACTTTCAATTGTAGATTCGGTTGTAGATATAGTCAAAGTATCATCTTTAAAGAAATTATACTTTTTAGAAGATATTTCACTATCGGTATCCGAGTTAATACTTATAGCAGAATCTGGCATATTGACTAATAAGTGTGAAGATAGGCTATGTTGTTGTGTGAAGATAAACTATGTTGTTGTGTGAAGATAAGCTATGAAAATAGCTATGTTGTTTTTTTTTTTCAAAGAAATGGAGAAAGAATTTTATATTTACATTAACGAGCAATTATTCGTTTATATATTTTATTTTATTTTTCTTTAATGGATTATTAATCTGCAGCTTCTTGAACACTAAATGCGTAGAATTGGACAAAAATATAACAGGATGTAAAAGACGAAATTCGGTTAAAACGATAAGCTTGTCGGAGATTTTGTTTCAAAATTTATATCAAACGCAAAACATAATGTGACATGAAAATCTTGACTTAAATTGTTCATTTCATACATTACAGCAATACAAAGGATACGTTTAAATAGTGACACGCTATACAAAATTTTTATTGATAATTTACACGTTGATAAACATATGGTACACTATTTCTTATTTACCTATAATGTTTGTGTATTAAACAATTAAAAACTAGTTTCGTTCAAGTTTTGTACGTATTGTTTTTTTTTTAATTAACTTTACTGGCCTACGTTAACCGATGTAAGCTGACTAATCCTTAATTCCGGTCATTCTTGTCCGACGTTGGGAATAATGAATTAAATAAATAATTAACTATCTACCAATCAATTTATTTAGGAAAATTCGCTTGTTTTAAATAGAGATTTTCCTAGCAATACTACATAGTTCATTACCCAAAAATTACTAGTATCAACTGATTAGACTTATCATAACTGATACGCCAAGACTATTCAAAATCTAAACTCCCATTATCTGTTTTCGTATTTAAATTTAACAGATATCCGGATATACAATCCCATAATAAAACCACAAATATTTCGGATATTCGGATCATATTTAACTGGCAAGTATAATTAGAATTAGAGTCTTGCATCCTAGACATAATGACCATTAGAAATATTTAATACTGCAAAATTAAGAAATACACATTTAAATTTCGTGATTATGTTGATTAACACATTCTAACTAATGTTTGGGAATAAATGTCTTGCGAATTAGATCCGATAATTATCTGTTTTCGGGATTATTCCGTTGCAAGGATTATCGGATTCTAGCGATTTCCAGTTGATATAATAAATTGACAGGACAGACTTTATATGTAGTAATTACCCTTTGCATCATTCATGCCACTTCGAAACCGACATACATATCTTAATTAGTAATAATCGACATGGAATGTGTAAATACATATAATTATTGTATGCATTGTGAGACAAATCTCTATAAAATTTGCACAAATTTTTCGCGAAACGAATGCAGTATTTTGTCCTAGTGTTCCATGAAAAAATGCCGTGAAATCATCAAGCGACACCTAAAAAGGAATAACTCGAATCGTCAAAATTTGCAGTCAAATATGGTAAAGCAAGTAATTTAACTTAACGAGGTTAATTCGGGACCAAGTTCTCATACCCGTTCATGTGTGAAAAAAATTTTCTATAGATGTGAATTTAAAAAGTGATTAGTATTGAAACAAGGATACCAATTTTTGGAGTTTCTCTTTAATCGATGTTTACATTCATACGTATATCTATATAACTTACCTGATATATCACTTCTATCCGTTAGTATTTATGCAGTGACCTTTTTTGTTGTGTGGTTAATGAATATTATGTTTCTACATTTCCATGTTGCCTGTTTTGCCTGTAATAACATCCATGTATTACACACATTTATACTATCTTGTGCTTTTTTTAATCTTACAATTTGTTTTTAACAGTAATAGCAATGAAGGTACTTTATCAAAGTTATTATTGCTATATTATGATCTTTTTTCTTATAATCTCAATCAATTATTATTTTTTTTACTTTAAAATTCCACTATTCTTCTACCCTATTTCTTTAAATGTCAGATTAGCGGAAAGAATCACAATGAGATCTTTGGCTAAGTTATTCTTTCTAATTTGACATTTAAAAGATAGAATACAGTATAAACTAGTTGGCCAAATTATTCATCAAAAAAATTTTGCTCATCAATAATTAAAAAATCTTTAATTATTTGGTCTAGTTAAACAAATAGTCTGGTTATTAATTAAATAATTTTGTTATATATACCGTAATACACATCATTCTAGTTATACAATGTATCGACATTTTGGATTTGTTACTAATGAAAGAAAATTGTCATTATATCCTACGTATTCAGAGTTCGTGCTCTGTATACAATTACTAATTTTTGTAAGCACTAACTTTTAAATTAAAATCAACTATTAATTAGTTTGTGTTAACTCTACTCACATTCATATATACCATCTTTTTAGAGATCATAGCTTCGATAGGTAGAAATTCTTACGCTAAAAAAGATGTTTATTCTAAATAAATATATTTATTCCAAATAATTTATTTATTTCGGACCATTTATTCTGTCTGTATAGATATTTTGTAAAGATTTTTTTTCTGGCACACATATATTTACGGGTTAATATCTTTTATTTGCTATAAATATTTAAATAGAAGGCACCACTTACAATGTCGTTAATATCAGAGAAAAAATCGGATCAAAATATCTCTACCTATAAAAAAAAAGTCATGCTTTCAACCGGTGATGCTAATACACGTCACTCTTGATACAACGTAGTACCTAGGGCACATACCGCTGTACTGTCTAATTGCATACTACGTACCTGCCCTTGAAATTATTAGTAAACAATAATAAATATTGAGGAATTTTATAAAATCCGCTTTATATCAAGTAGTATTTATTATGATGTGGATCTAAATCTTGATCCATTATATCAAGAGTTCGTTATATCGAGAGTGACGTGTAACTGGATTCATTTAGGATTAAATTTAGAGTTAATGTAGGTCTTGCAAGGGATAATTCTTTATTAATGCATTAAAGTTGATTTCATAAGCATAGTTTTGATTTGTTGTGATCTGAAATTCTTGAAGCTTTTGAATTGTGCAATCTGATTTGTTTAGTTACCGTAACCAATGTTGTACATGGAACAAAACAATAACAGAATTTTATTATGGAAACTTTTTTTCAGCTCTAATGCTAAAATAAAATAATTAAAAAAAGATTTATTATTATATAGTTTTCCAAACTAAGAATTGGGGCAATGTTGGGATGCCCCGGGATAGAATGAGACGGAATAAGGCCAAAAAAACCTGGAACAATCAAAATGTACAACACTGGAAGTAACCGCTGGTAACAAATAGATTTAATAACTTTTAGTACCAGTACGTATACAGCGTTTACTTTTAATAACTGATAAATATATATTTGATATGCACAAAATTTTAAAATAGGCTTAATTCATAAAGTAACCCAGAACTTTATGTGTGTACAACTGATTGTGGGCTTTGAAAGTTATTTTTAGAATACTGATAAAAAGAATACTCTAGTCGTTTCGGTTACATTTTTAACTAATTGGGTATGAGTAAATTAAACGCCACTCGCCGTTTGCTTTTATTCTAGCCGCATTCCTGATATACATAGGTTCTATATTTAGATACGTGGGTTTTCTCTTGTGACGACACATATGATTCAATAAAGGTATTTAAATTGCGAATTCAAAAAAAACACCTACCGCTACAATAACTATTTTGTTTTCAGAAATACGTTTTAAGGACCAAAAGCCCATTGTCATTATTAGTGTAATCTTAAATCTGTTAGCCCACGTAAAAGTTTTTTTTTTGTGTATTTTGGAATGTGGCTTTTTCTCTTGTACAGTCGAAGCTTCCTCTTTGATGACTTTTCAAGCTTTTTACTAATTTTGGATAAATCACCATAACTAGAGTTAATACGTACCTGAATCCGGATCCTAATTATAAGATCCGGATTCTAATAATAAAATCCGGATATAATAATAAAATCCGTTTTTCGTTATGATTCGAAATGTGTTAATGACTTTCATAGGCCGTATGAAGACATATAAGATAACTATTAGCATGCCTATATGGATTGACAGGTGCCCTATCTGGCAATAAAAATATTCTGTTTTTTTTTTTTTTATATATTTACCTCCCTCCGCTATCCTGAAGGTCCTTAGACACCTTTAGGACCTGTCACATCTCTTAAAGATCAGAGTTATCATTCTGCGAAGATCATCGGATGGCGTGTGGCCCCTATATATCACCGAACTGTAAGATAACTCATGCTGCATTAAGTCCGTCATATAATGTCCCGGGTCCCTGGTTCCGCGGTGTAGGACCTACTATCTCCTTCAGTCCGCAGTTCCCTAACTTCACATGACCCATCAACCAGATCATTCATAAATTTTGATATTCTCAATTCTACATGTTCTTAATTCAGGTTCTCTCAATGTTAACATCATTTGTTGATGGATTATGTCTTATCTGATTGTTTCTGACCCTGTAACTATGTCAATTGCTGCATTCTTTTTCATATGAATCTTGTTTTTGTTTTTTTTTTTAAATAAAAATCCTTTACAGATCTTTTTCAATCATGGTTTGGCAAAAATTTTGTTACCTTCTAAACTTGAATTCATGATCTTGCAATTGAGACTTGGGAGTGTTAATCATTGTGTTATCAACCTACAGGTCTGTCTTTATTTTGTTTTTTCAAACCTATTGTTATTTAATATAAACCTTATATAGAAATATGGTTATTTATTGAAATTATATAAAATAAGAAAATTATCAATACTTTTATAAATAAATAAATAGATATATCAATATTTTTATATTTAAAGTTTATTAATAATTATAAAGATCTATTGTTTTATTTTAATTATTTGTTATTTTTTTTCAATATCAGTTATTATTAATTATAAATTAAATAAATTAATATATTAAATTTTATATACAAAAATTATTAAAATTTAATTGATTTATATACAGAATAGGTTATAGTATTTTGCATAACTATGCAAGTCAAGCATATAATGAGTGAATCTACAGAAGAACTCTCTATTTTCTTGAACTCTATTTCATCATCTCATATCAAGAAAGAATTACAAGATTCAGCTTACAATACACTATATGATCTAGACTTATACTATAACTTATAGTTAGCAGGATTGAGCCTACCTCTACTTCTATATCTCCTAACACTTAGCTTCTTTTTAAAACACATCCACCATTACAACTATATACAATTAAACAATTTCAATTACACATTTATAATATCAATCAAAATTGATTATAGTAAATACTATATATATTTATTACACAAATCTCAATCTTCACCTGAATATTTTTTTTCATAACTATCAAGCTATATTTATTACCTATCTATACCCATCTCTTCTAAATTTTTTCCAATAAATAATAACATACCAAATACAAATTTAATTATAAAAATAAATGATATAGATTACTTTTATTTTTAACTAGTAGGAGTTATCTTAGAAGATTATAATGAAACTACCATAATTAAACACTACTATGATAACATTTAATTTAATATTTATTATAATAAATTTTTATTTTATAATTAGTTATCATTGCTTTCTTATTTACAAACTATTATTTCTTTCTTATAACACATTCATAGCTTTAGCTATTAACCTAATAATACTTGTATCTATATATTAACTATTTCTATTAAAAATGATCATAGCAAAACTCATGTTTATCTTTCATCAAAAACTAAACTATTATCTAATCATTTTATCTTACCAATTCAAGTTATCTGATATTATCTGAACATTTAGCTAAAATCAAACACATCAATATCAGTCTTTTCTATACTAGCATCTTTAGCTTCTATCTCTAGCAATTTAACACAATTCAGGAACCTTAATACCTCACCTTTAAATCTTATAATCTACACCTACAATATTTAAGAATATAATGAAAATCTCAAACAACAAGTTTGGAAAGATTATTGTATCATTCATTTCTTAAATATTATCAATATTACAGAAACTAAAATAATAGAAAATAATTCTATTACCAAATTTTATAACTCAAAATACTATTTTTATTACTGGTTATGTACTAATAGTTCCAAAATAGGAACTTTACTCATGATTCATAAACATTCACACCTCATATATACAATATTTTTACTCTTCTTGACTATGTTATAGCTATAGACCTCTTCTTTAAACATGATCACAAATTTCAAATTATCTTTATACATTTATCATATTAAAACTTATAATTAAAACTTCAAATTCAAAATACCATTATTCAATAGATCCAAGAAGCTACTAACTAAAACATCTCATCTATAATACTAAGTAACTTTAATGTATCATTTAATAACTCTACCTTTTTATTTATTTATCAAATATAAATTACTACAATTTCTACAATATAATAATATTTATGACCTAGCAGATCATACAAATACCTTCTCTTATATTTGGCATAGCAATAGACATCACAGTACTATCAACTATATTTGAACCTACCTTCTTTTACTCAAATACTTCAATTCTTTTTACTTGGATGATACAGAAAACTGTATTCAAAGTGATCACAAAATTCTTATATCCTCTTGGACATTTCTTCATGTTCTTACAAGCAAAAAACAGACATTCAACTAGAACTAAATGCAGAACTTTTAACTACAAAGCAATGAATAAAGAGGAATAAAAAATTTTTATTGACCAAGTTTCTCTTAACCTTATTACAAACAAAACACCTCTTTCTATTCAAACCTCTAAATCTCTTGAAACTACTTGTCCTATAAAAACAAATTATTTAATTTTTATTTAATTTTTGTATTAAGTTGTTTAATATTTGTATAAATTTGTCTTATATTGTTTATTATTTGTATAATAAATTTTTTTTTCAAAAAATAAATTAAATTATAATGTTTAAATTTTGTATAATTAAATAATTAATATATATTTTTCAAACAAAATTTATATAAATTATTTATTTAAACAAAATTTAAACAAAAAAAATTAAATAAAAATTATATAAAAATTAAACAAAAATTAAAAGTATATTTTTTATTTAGAAAATTACTACGTTTTACTACTGGTGATCATTATCAGTAATTTACAATATTTAAATTTAAATTTTTATCAAAGCAAAACTTGATTTTTTTAATATTTAGAATAAGGTTTAAAAGCTTAAGTTAGAAGAAAAAAAGGGTTATACTTAAAATTTTACAGAGAATTTTTTTATTAGAACCCCAAAGTAGCTTTGTTAGTAAAATTTATTTTATATTATACACTAGTGATGATCACCAGTAGTAATAAATAGCAAATCTCTTTTATTTAATATAATATTTTATTAATTAATAATTTATATTTATTTATTAAATCTATATAATATAAATAAAATATATTATATAAAAATATTAAAAATACTATAAATATGTATAAACAATTTTAAAATATTTTAACTAATATTTTTATATTAGCAATTAAGTATAAATAAAATTAAAAAATATTTATATTTATAAATTATTATTTTAAATAAAAAATATATAAATTAGACAATTTTTATTTATTACTAATATAATATATTATTAGTTATATAACTAACTAATTAGAATTTAAGATTAAATATAATATAAAATCAAAATAAAAAATAACAATATATTAGTTTAAGATTAATATTAGCAATATATAATAGTAAAAATATTTATTACAAATAAGTATTTATATTCTTTTTGATAATTTTTTGAACAACAGCATCAAGAATTTGAACTACAATAAAATATTATAGGAAATCTTAAATAAACATAACTTTTTCTTTATATAAAGTAGCCTATTTGTTAACAAAATCAAGAATATATAAATACTAAAAAGTAGAATAGAATACTTGACAGATTTGTACTTTGAGTTAAGTTTCTTTTAATAAACTTTTTTTATATATTTGATATATAAATTAGAAAAATATTTTAAAAAATAGTAAAGAAAAAAGCTCTAGTTAAAATAAGTAAAAACTTAAAAAAAACTACTATATGACTATAAAACCTATTTGAAGAACTATATATACTTTGTTAGTCTACTATTTTTTAAAAAAATTTTGTTAAAAGTAAGTAATTTAGTTTATTTTTTTAAAAAATTGATATATAATTTACTAAAACAATTAGCAGTATTTATTTTTTAAATAAGACTAGTATCAGATAAGTATATATTAATAAGTTAACAGTTAACAAACAAATAAACATGTTTCATATATATGTCTTGAAAAATAAACTATATTATAAAAATACTACTTTAAGACTACTTAGTATTCTGGTACCTAATAGCAATTTTTTTAAAATTTTTAAAGTCAAAATTTTTTTTATTGTGATTTTTGAACTTTATAAAATCTAGTAAATAAAGTTAATAGTAAAAAATAATTTTATTTAGTATAATTTATAGTTTTTATAAAGCCCAATATAAACTTATAATTATGATTATCTAAGAAAATAAAACTTTTTATTTATTATTTTTTTTTTGCTTGTTTTTGTTTTTATATTTTTTTTATTTGTATCTTTTATTATTATTCTCTATTTTTTTGTTTTTTTTTCTTTTGATATAGATTTTTTTTTATACATTTCTACAAAAAGATATTATTAGATTAGTGATATTCTATTGTAAGGTAATAATCTGATAAGCTTTTAAATCTTGCAGTTATT